ACATAGTGGCTTCCAACCATCTATAATGGGATCTAATACCCTTTTTTTGGTGTACAGACATACATGCAGACAAAGCACTATATACATGAATACATAAATGAATAAATTTTTTTAAAAAAAAATAACAAGCAAGATGTTAAAAGAAACCACACTTAAAAATTTCATGTTTTACCAATGAGTATTTCATCTGAAATTAACTCTTATCCCTAAGCATTCAGGTTTTGCCATTGACTGGACTTGGTCAGGTCCAGTTCTATGGACGTTCAGTTTGCTGTCCTTGAATTTTAATGCAACTGAAAATACCACACAGAGCTGACTGTACCTTCTGATGTTACCTATTGTGTGGCAATGGAGCCAACTAGCTCCTTGAAGGGCTAGACTTTTGTCCTTTAGTACAGGGAGTCACTTATGAAAGTCAGCAGCACACATTAAAGGGGATACTTTTTCTCATGGAGTTTTTAAAATTAATAAACAATGAGCTAGAAATGAATGGCTTTCATGAAGGTATGCAGAAAGTTGAGGTGAGCAAATGAACTGGGCTAGTCTATAAAGTGCCATCCATTCTTTGTTTTGAAGACTAAATGAGGAAAGTTATATCTGTTCTATAGATGTGGTTTGCAGTAATAGCACGGGTTGATATTGATCTGTTACAACTCATTTGGTTATGTAGTAACAAATAATTATTCAGTTTTGCTCCAGTCACTATAAAGGGCTGACCAGCGGCCAGGTTAGAAATGGACAGTATACTGTGTATACTGTGCTGTCCCCCCCTCATCCCTTAGTGAATATTAACTTATATCACTGAGGTGGACGTTGTCGACAGTGTGTGCAGTAACTTGACAATAGAGTACTTTTAGAAGAAGACCGTATGGAGTGATTTAATATTATGCACCGAGTTGTGATTCAGGATATGCTGAGTCAAGAATGAAGAATTGCTTCTCCTGACAGAACAAAGCAGTAAACCCCCAACAAAACAACTCTCTGGGATGCTGAGCTTCTTATGCCAGAGGCAGGATATTCCTTGTCTCAGTTTTTGGAGGAAAAAAAACAACAAGATAAGAGCTGAATTGTGCCAGTGTGTTACCAGTTCTCAGTGTGGACCTGGAATTTTCAGTCAGCATCCATCCATCTCTTTTGCGAACATTGTCATGCTGCTTCCTTCCCACTGCCACCTTTCTAAATCCAGTAGGAGTGCGTTTTTATCATTGTTTCTGTGTTGTTGAAAAATTTCCATCTTCAAGGCAGACTCTCCCAGCCCAGGCAGTGCTGAGGTCATGCGTGTAGACTTCTGCATACAGTGCAGCACCCCACCTCCTAGCAGGTAGACTTCCAGCCAGGCATCGGTGCCAAAAGGACACAAGTTACCCATTTTCCCCCTTCTCCTCACTTATGGTACTCCACTGCACATTTTGTTTGTCCTTGAACAACTTCGTAAGTACTATTAGAATAAGGAGGGGTGTAAATAAATGAAATTCAGGTTCACATTAACTTCATTCCTTATAAAAGATTCTGTTGCCTAGGAGACATAGCAGGGTTATACATGTAATGTTAATAAAAACAGGGAGGTTAGCCCTACTCATTCTGACTCTACAGAAAGATGGATCCTACGCTTATGTGCTGCTTCAGAGTTTCTCCAGCTGTTTCTGAAACATAGCCTGGGCTTTGGATCACTGTGCCAGGACATGTGCTTATTTTACATCTCTGGGACAATATGTGATATGACTCTGTAGTGAATATTTTATCTGGAATAATTAATGTTGAGAGTTTTAAGTTAACTTGTTCTAGTATTTTAAACTATTTTACAAATGTATGTATTTTGTATGTGTATATACTCATGTTTGATTTTTAAAATAACTTGAATATGAAAATGACCTACTGATAGACTTTTGTTTATAAACTTTTCTTACACAAGAACAACTTAACACCCAGTAGCACACCCCTGAGGAGAGAGCCCCCTACCCTTCCATGCACCATCTCACTGATGATATGGCTAAGTTTAGTGTTGGCTGTGGTTAGCTGTCATTGTGGTTAGCAGTATGAAGTGATACTACTGCTCATACAGCTTGTATAAAACTTTAAATCAATAGTGGAATTGAAAAGTGCTGTTATCCCCTCAGAGCTCAGAGAATCCCTTGGAAGATGTGCAGAAATAGTATAAGATGTAGAAGGGTTGGAGGACAGGGAGAACAAGGCCCTCTGAATCAACTGAGTGAGGCTCATTGACACAGAGACTAAGGCCACAGCACAGGGATGGCAAGCGCCTGCACCAGGTCCTCTGAGTGCATCACATAGCTTTCAGATTAGTATTTATTTGGGACTTCTGAGTGTGTGAACAAGTCTCTGATTCTTGTGCTGTACTTGGGGCTCTTTCCCTTCTATTGGGTTGCCTTGCCCAGTCTTGATGTGATGGCTTTTGTTTTATCTTATTACATTTTATCTTGTCAAAAAAGACAAAAAAAAAAGGGAGTGGACCACTATTAAATTGTGGCCTACTTACTTTTATATTGCAATTACAGAACCATGACCAAGGCAACTTATAAAGGAATTAATTAGGGCCTTCCTTATAGCTTCAGCAGTGAGCTCCATGACCATCATGGCAGGGAGACTAACCACAGCATGGTGCTGGAGCAGTCGCTGAGAACTTAGAGCTGATCTACAAATGGGGCGTGGGGCTGAGGGTGGGCAGGTAGGGAGAAGGAACACAAATGGGAAACGGTTCAGGCTTTTGAAACCTCCATGCTCACTCTCAGTGACATACCAACTCCAACATGACTACACCTCCTAATCCTTCCTACACATTACTGCCGATGGGAAACCAAGCATTCAGATATATGAGCCTATGAAGGCCATTCTCGGTTTAACCACTACAAAGAATAAGAAAAATTGGTGATACCATGTTCAAAACAGCATTCTAAGGTTATGGAGCTTGGCTGAATTTGAATGCTATGTTTAAGAATGTCTTCATGGGACTGGAGAGATGGCTCAGTGGTTTAGAGCACTTGTCAGTATTATAGAGGACCTAGTACCCACAGTACTCCAGGTCCAGGGAATCTAATGTCTTCTTCTGACTTATGAAGGCACGCATGTGCTGCACATACATACATGCAGACAAAACACTCATACACATAAAATTCATAAATCTAGAAAATTATATTATAATTATATTATAATTATATTATAATTTAATATAATCATACTTTTGCTTCTGAAGTCATTATCTTTTAATGGTAGTTGTATTTATTTTTTTTAATTTGACTATCCCATGTAATAGTGCATTATACAACAATAATTCATTTGATCACATTGGCCTTGTTAGCCTATGTTGTCTCCTTCTGACCTATGCTGATTGAGTTCATCTTACTAACTAGCTTCCCTTCCACTTTTTTCTCTCTTATTTGGGGGTAAGGGACATGACCCAAATGAATGTGGTTTTGTACAGGAGCATGGACATGTTATCACTGGCTATGCCACTGAAGAGAATGTTTCTACCTCTGTCAGCCAGTATCCATATCTTCAGGGAGGGATGGAACCCATGAGACTTCCTCCCCCATAATGAGGTGTTGATGGGCCTATATTGTATAGATTTTTGCAGACAATCACAGCAGTGACACATGTGGACGTTAGCATTCCACACCTCTTTCCTCCCACTGCCCTGAACATGTTTTTCTCTCCCTCCTTCTGCAGTATTCCCTGCTCCTTGAAGGAATTCTGCTTATGACTGAGTACTCAATAGTCACGTATTCTCAATGCTTCAAACAGTTGTGAGTCACCACTGCAGTACTGCAAACAAGAAGCGTTTGTGACTGCTCTGGGCATAAGCCTACTTACTTAGGAGGCAGTTTGATGGGCATATCACATCCATTAAAGCAAGCAACAGAAGACGTTTCTCCACTATGGTCTATGACCTTCCAGGGTTTCAGCACCAGCTGTGAGTTACCTTCTGGGTAACAGGCCCCAAATCCAAAAAGGAAAAAAGAAATCCATTGTTTGTCTCCACAACACACTTGCCAGTGCTGTGCAAGTGCCCCATCTTGCTGTAGTCAGTAGTGTGGGATCCAGGACCTACAGGGATGATGCTTCCAGCCCACTTCCAGCCTAATTTCTCTGTGTCCTGTGACCAGGTCAGGAGGTGTTGAATTCAGTACTTTTTTGATAGTGAAGCCATTAGAAGAAATAAAGACTCACATCTTAATTTTGGTTTTAGTGAGAGTGTTGTTATAAATATTTGTTTTCTGCTTTAAAAAAGAGTATAAAATTTTGAATAAAGGTGATGGTAAAGGTTTCATTTTGTTTGATACAACAGCACAAAGTATGTCTGAATCTGCTGAGCCATCCTTCCCAACATTAGCACATATAAGGAAATCCTGCTTCTGTTAAGGCAGCACATCACTTTCCTGTCGCTTTACACAGTACAGCTCTCACTGGCTGGCTTGACTTTGCTGCACTGTTTCAGTGCCAGTGTGTGATGTGTGGGCCCTTAGCTTGCCTTTGGAGTGTTGTGCTGTTGTTTCTCAGTCCCTGCACTTCACATGCCCTCCTTCATGATTAGCCTCTGTAGGTCCAAGGAGGCATGGGCCCCAGGAGGGCTTTTCAAAAGGAAACCTACATGCTTGATAAAATAGTCATCTCTGAGTGCATGGCTTCTCATTGTGCAAGAGAACACCCACCCTGTGATCCCTCTAGGAGTCCAGTGATGGAGTCTGATTCCATTAAAGTGTGGTAGTAATTATTGCCATCATCCTTTGAAAGAGGGAGTACTAAATAAAAGGAGAAAGAAGGGAAACCCTCATTCTTACATCCAGCAAATATGTAATAAGGGGGAAAATACCTAAAGCTTTCTGGTGATATTTCTTTTTGGATTTGAGAAGACATTTTGTTTGTTATATGAAATATGCTGTGCAAAGACAAATGTGTGCAGAGAAGTGTCTACAAGACTAAGTAAGCATTGCATAGGACTCCAACATTAATTCTGCATATTCTTTGCTGGTGCCTGGTTTTAGGATATGACAGCGCGGGACCTGCTACAGCAGCGGTACACGCTCCCCAACGGTGACACTGCCTGGCGTTCCTCACCCCTTGTGAGTGCTGCTCGGGAAGGCAAGCTGGTCCTGTTGGATGGCATCCACCGCGTCAACGCTGGCACACTGGCTGTATTGCAAAGGTTTGTATCACAGACAGTCTCCATGCCAACCCAAACACTGAGTTTTCGGGTCCTGAGGAATTTACAATTCTATACTCAAGTTGAAAAAGATACTAAGTTGAATACAATATTATGAACATCTGGTTATAAACACATGCCTATCAGACTCCCAAACCCCTCCTCTGTGGCAGAATTTGCTGTGTAAGAGCTGAAGGATGCCAGCCTGCCAGCCAAGGTTCCCAGAGGCTTACGGACGTAGATCAGTATGTGCAACAACCACACATCCCAGACTACACTGGAGCTGAGCTTGTCGGAATATTGTTTTACTGTTTCATTTTTTGAGAGAAAAGAAAGATTTAATATAAAAATGTATATTTATTTGCTTATTTCACTCAGTTGGCACAGAGGTGACCATTTCTGTAGTCATCATTTTTTTTCATTTTGAGTGAGAAACAGCTATCCACACATTTTAAAAACTCCAACCTTCTAGAATTTAATGTCGGAAGATTCTCTGTCTAATTTCTGTGGAAAATCTTCACAGCCTGTGTCATTTCAGAGGTTACTGATGCTTTTCATTCCTTTTCTCCTACATGACTTTTTAGTCTGACTTACTGGAAAGTGTCAAATAAATGAAATAAGCCATTTCTTCAACCAGCTAACCACAATTTTTATCGCTGACGAGATGCAGACACTGAGTGGAATGAAAGACTCCAAATGTGTTGTATTAATCTTGCTTCAGCCTGTGTGGGTTTAAAAATAGTAATCACAAAGTTTTGGTGATTTACCACATTTCGTAGACTTATAATTTAATATTCTCTGCCAAACAGATAAATGTGAATACAAAATAAGAAAAGACTCAGCCCTCTCTTGTTGGCTGTCTCTCAGGTGTCTGACCAAGGATAAAAGAGCAGCAACAGCAGCAAGGAGCCTGTGCTGCACTAACCCAGAGGCCCCAGTGTCAGCCTCTGGCCACCTGCAGGATGGAGCTTTAAAAATACAGTGCCTGGCCTCTGTCCTTCTCAGTTCTTGAAATCATTGATTCAGGACGGAGTTTTGAACATGTGCATTTTGAAATGCTGCCTAGAAATTCTAACTTACATTCAAGACTGAGCAGTGATGTTAAGCATCTATTTTAAATTACTTGTTCAATTTTCACACCAACTATATGAGGTTGTTATTGTTGTCTTAATTATTTTTGCCTTAATTTTATAGTAAAATTTAGATAAACGGAATGGTTCTCCCTTTTCTGATTATTCAGCAAGTTGGACTTGAACCCAGGTCCTCCAGACTGCGCTGCTCATAGTAGCTCATAGCTACTGCATTAGTCTTTCCCCTCTGACCTTTGCAGACCTAGCAGTAGAATCTTACATAGTATGGAAGGCTAGTTGCTATAGGGCTGCCTTGTAGAGGAGCAATGGAGCTATTTCAGAGGCTGTTGACATCTTAAATTTTGAAATTCCAACAGTAGAAATATTTTAATAATACTTTCCCTTTAAAAGTTGCATTAGATTCAGGAGTGTGTGCTAACTGGCTTACACATGAATAGATGCCCCATGGTTGACCTGAGACACTCATTCAGCTGTTTCTTTTTGTCTCCCATCTCCTCCTTCCCTTCTTCATCTCTCGTCTCCTTCACACCCATCTCTGGCGTTTGGGACTGCTCCTCTGCAGAGTCCAGTGTGTCTGCCACACATAGTGCATAATGGCACCAACTATGTTACAGCTGTGGAAAGTACAGCTGAGAAAACTGTCAGGCTTGCCTGCCAGCAGTGACAGGCATGCTGACATGGTGACTGAGTGATGCTGCCTCTCCTAACATCATTGATGAACTTGTTTCCCCAACCTCTTTCCCATCAGACTAATCCATGACCGGGAGCTCAGCCTGTATGATGGATCTCGGCTACTGAGGGAAGACAGGTACCTGTGCTTGAAGGAGAGGCTACAACTGACGGATGAGGAGCTACAGAACAGGTCATTTGTAGTACACGGTTATCAGTTTGTTTTTTAACATTTATTTATTGTATATGCATGGACGTGTAGGTACACATACTACAACTCACATACAGAAGTCAGAGGACAACTTGAGGAAATCTTCTGTCTTCTTCTTCCAGTTGGGTCTGGGGTATCAAACTCATCCTGAGGCTTGGCAGCAAGCACCTTTACCCTTGGAGCCATCTGGCCAGCCCTTGAGCACATTATTGTTATCGTTAACTTACTGCTAAGTTGAAAGTAACATTCCTTACTTTTAGCTAAGCTAGGATCAAACAAAACAGTAACTGAATGGCTTAGTTTGGTGTCTGTGGATGGGATAGCCTAGCACTTCCTAAACCCCAGGTTCTATCCAAACTCTGCTGTCTTCGTAGCTTCCACGGTATTAAGAAGCTAAGCTAGCTTTACTAGGAAGTCATGGGCATAACTATGGGTGTCCCCGAGGCATCATTGGCCCTGCCCCCACTCCTAGCTTCTTTACACCTCTTTCCCTAGATAGAACAGTCAGATACAATGGCTGAGGTTCGATTTGACTCTGTAGCAGGAAACAACATGAAAACATTTACAAAACAAAAATAGAAAAGATTAGGGCTGGGAAATGGCTCAGAAGTTAAGGTACTGTTTGCACAGGCTGGACTTAAATTTGGATCCCCAAAACCAAGCCAGGTATGTGTCTATAGGGACTGTAAACCTGGCATGAGACAGAAGTTTAACCAAGACAGGCACATCTTTGAAACTAATTGTCTGACTACCTTAGCCAAGTAGATAAAGTTTTGGGTTCAGTTAGAGATCCTGTCTCAAAACTGAAGGTAGAGCTGGGGTGCAGATGTGCCAAGGATGCAGCTGAAGGCCAACCTTGGTTTTCATAGTGAGGTCCAAGGCAGTCAGGGCTACAGCAAGACCTTGTGTCAAAAAAATATAACAAAATAAAAAAGGGAGCACTCAGCTGAGGAAAGTTGACTACCTCTGTTCTCACACATGCACCTATGCTAACAAGAACACACACAGTACACACCAGAAGCTCACCGAACCCTTCCAACTTCATAGCATCAACCCAGTTTCAAAATAATATTTGTCTTCCTCATTGTTTACTAGCTCTTCTGAAGGCCATAACCTTGGGCGTGTCCAGAATTGGGGTTTTACATTTTCCCCAGGCAGTCATATGCCTAACCACCTTTAGAAATGTTAAAGTTTTCTTGTATTGTCACAGTAATTAAGAATAGTGTGATGGCCCAGTATACCAGACACCAACCACACCGTCTCTCTGCAGGAAGCACAGACCAAAACAGAAGTACTTTCTTTAATGAAGTCCCTTTTTGGAAAGAGGGAGTATAAACTCGTGTCTATTCTTGCTGGAGTCTGATGCAGAGAAGCAATACAGATTTGCAACCTATACCTGCGTATGCTTAGATATGCCCTACTAGTTTTTATTTTTAGTTAATATTTTGTTTTCACTGGATGTTATTGAATGTTGAAAATAGTTCACAATCTCTCTGTCTTTATTAATTACTAATGAATTGTAACAACATTTACAGTTCTTAATAGAGTGCATTCTGCAGGCGACCCTTTATCCTTACTATGTTAGAACTGGGTACAATATGAACATTCTCTCTGACCTTCCTAGAAGCTGCAATGTGTTTTTAAACAGTTAGTTCATAAAAGAAATCAACAAATTTGAGGGAGGTCCCAGATTTTATGTGTTTGGTTCCTAAACACAAGCTTTAAGGAAATTCTGATTTTTGAAACTGAACGTTTTTATGGTCAAGGAGCAGTGAGGTGTAATTACATTGTATTGTGCATTCTGTTCGTCTTTTGATCCAGGGAATACAGCTTCTCGCATAGATTCATTCAAGACCAAATTGAGACTAGCTTTTCAGCAGGAGAATAATTTTACTTCTTATCCTTTACCACAAACTGTTCTTGTTTCTAAAGAACTTAGAAAGGAGTCTTTTGATCATGGTGATTAGATGCAGCAATACCCACTCACTTACCTGTGATGTATTTCCTGCTTCAGTCCGTGCTCAGCTCCTGTATGGTGTGTATTAGGAATGTTTCCATGCCGTGCAGTCCTTGCATGGAAAGAATGGAACTTGGGCCCTGTGCTCACATCTGTGTAACTTGTTGGTTTTGATGGGAGGATTAGTATTATGCCATAGAGGCCAATTTTAAACTCCTGTTGCAGCCCACGGTCTATGTCGTTATAGAAACCTTCTGTATCAGTCTTTTAAGTTATTTAAATATGTTTTCAACCAAGAGGTAGTGTAATTCCCTTCAAAAGACTGGGGCTTATTGAAGTCTTACTTCATGAGGAAAGAGCTTTGTTTAGGTGTGCTTGATCTGTGGCAGTGCATCTTTATCATATCCCATTTGATCATTTTTGTATATGCTTATGAATTCATTACCACAACCAAGAGGATGAGCAGATTTATGTTTCTTGAAACGCCTTGTGGCCTTGCTAAGGCGGCCCTCCTATCCTCACCTCCCTCTTCTGTCATTATGTACAGCTTGTTTCCTGTGTAGTCAGAATCACACAACACACTATGCACTCTGTTTTGCTAGCGCAATTCCTTTGAAATCACCCATGTTGCAGTGGTTTGTGTTCATCCTATTCCATCTTATTTTATTTTGATTATGTTTATTTTTGGGTTTTGAGACAGGGCTTCTGTTTGTAGCCCTGGTTGCCCTGGAACTCACTTTGTATAACAGGCTGGCCTTGAACAGCAGAGATCCGCCTGCCTTTGTCTCCAGAGTGCTGGGATCAACACATGTGCCACCACAGCTTGCTTCTTTCCATTTTATAATGAAGAACATTAGAAAAGATTTTACATTCTCAGGCTCAACTCGTACCCACAAACATATTAAACCCCAATAGTCTTCAAATAGTAAAAAAAAAAAAAACAAAACATTTTTAGCTACTAACATCTTTAATCCTTAGGAAATGATTCATATCTATCTGAAGGAAAAGCCACAGCTTACATTTTATTTGTTTTTGTTGTCATTATTAAGTTTTAACAAAGTTAGACCTAACCTCGATTTTATATCTTTGTAGTCTTTGTTTATGTACTTGTAGTGAAGAAGTACCGCTTCAGTCCTTCAGCCTCGGGATTACCACCCAAGGGCTGCTGCTGCACCCTGACAGATTCTTCTCTCTAATTTGCAGAGTTAGGAAACTTAGGATCAGGAAATGACTCCCTGTGTAACTATTTATACACTAGGAAGCCTTCAAGGAGACCCTAGAAGACTAAAAGGTCCTTGTCATCCTGTTATTCAGTGGTTTGGTGGGCTGTTTTTATCATCACATGTACCTTTCGGCCCAGCACATAAGCCATATCAGGACTGGTCCTCTTTAGGTTCATAGCTCCCTCCCTTCCATGCTTGTGAGAAGCTATAGTAAAAAGCAAGCTGCAGACAGTGGATGTTCCAGGCAAGGACCACCCCCACCCCATGTCTACACTCACAGCCCCAGCTTCCCTTGGCTCAGTTGCTCTTCTTCTAACTCCACAGCTTAGCTTGGCTACGCCGCCTGCTCCTTGGTTGGAGAGTACTCACTAGGCTTCCCCTTTGGCTTGTCTGTTGGATTTTAACTTTTATTCCTAATTTGCTGTCCCTCATCATCTTTTTTTTTTTTTTTTTTTTTTTTGGTTTTTTGAGACAGGGTTTCTCTGTGTATCCCTGTCCTGGAACTCACTCTGTAGTCTGTAGTCCAGGCTGGCCTCGAACTCAGAAATCCACCTGCTTCTGCCTCCCAAGTGCTGGGATTAAAGGCGTGCGCCACCACCGCCCAGCTTGTCCCTCATCATCTTAAATGAGAAACTGTATCTGCAGCTTTAATTTTCTGCAGCCAAATCATGCTCTATGCCCTACCTTCTGCCCAGCCGCAGCTAGGAGTCAGAAGGATCAGGGGTGAATCTGGCATGTATAATTGAATCCCAGGAAGTCGTCTGTAGTTAGCAATCACTTTAGCTGAAGGAGAACTGTGGTAACTGGCCTTTTCTAAGGATCCCACATGTGGTGTCTGCTGTGGTATGAATGCTCAACAACTCTGAGACCCCTGGAGACATGAGGGGGGCTGAGCCTGTGTTGTATTCCTTCTCTGCTTTCCCAGAACAACTTCTTCTGATACATCATTCCAGACTCTTCTAGAATGTATACACACATGCACACGCATGTATGTCTTCTTTTTAAAAGTTCTCTTATCTATTAACTTCTAATAATTCACTCAGTCTTACATCTCTAGGATGATAATTTCCAAAGTTGCTTCTCTCTCTTATGCAGTCAGGACTTAGAGCTGCCCACTGTAGAGTTGCCACTTTCTCTCCTCTGAACTCTTCAAAGTTTTAATTTCACACACACCCATCTCTCAATGCTCCAGCCGCCTTATCCTGTCACTCTTAGGTTCTGCAATTGCCAATGGTACAATGCCAATTTCATAGCTGTATTTTTGTTTTCCTCAAAACGTTAGCAAGCATGTGAACTTTTAGCTATTTTTTTTCTCAGCAAGAACTATATTATCCTCTAAAAAAAATGTTTTGTTACTGCCTACTCTTAGTAGGATTGATTAAAAACAAAACTCCAATTGTACCATCTACTTGTCTGGACCATAATACAGGGAACTTACTTTCTGACGTCCCCCAGACACTCAGACCCTTCACTGCGCAGGAGAAGTGTCATGCTTTTCCTCCTCTGAGTCCTTGGATACTGACATGCGTCCACAGATTTCCTAGCAGAGATTTCTTAAATCAATTTTAAAAATTTAATGTTTGTGTCAATGACAAATACCTTTAGCTTTCTTTACCTTTTTAATTACTAAACACTCTCTTGCTGACCTAATTATAAATTTAATGTGACCCCATATGCCTGACTTAAATGACTGTATTTTAAAATATTTCCCCACCCCAAATGATGCCTATTAGTTTCTCTGACTCATACAGAGTAGTCTCCTTGAAAACCAGATTTCAAAAGGCTTTATTGACTATATAAACAAGGAGGATCGATGTAATGACTATAAACTTGGTGTGGTCGAATTTCAAGGGATTTTAGAGCAGTCACTGTGAGGGCTAGGGTTTCATGAGCACATACTGTACTCTTAGTAATTATTTCAGTCTCTTACTCTTGAAATCTTAGGACTCTTTTTCCCAAAGCCCTTTCTTTGGATGACAGCATTGACATTATTAATAGAATGAGAGTTTTATTGCTCAGCTCCATGCCTCATGTCCCGGTTTCTATTGTAAACATTTATGTTTTATTTTTCTCCTTCTTTCCTTTAGGTCCATTTTTCCTATCCACCCCTCCTTTAGAATCATTGCATTGGCAGAGCCCCCAGTTGTTGGAAGCACAACACAGCAGTGGCTGGGACCAGAATTCTTAACCATGTTCTTTTTCCATCACATGAAGCCACTTGTGAAAAGTGAAGAACTGCAAGTGATAAAGGAGATGGTAAGAGTGAGGCCTGCTGTAGGCTGGGGTCATGACGCTCTCACTGAGGCTGCCAGATCCCTGCAGACCGTAACCCTCGACTTACATGAGTGCTCCCTGCAGCTTTTCTGTGTCCACTGTAGCCAAGCCTTGCGTTTCGCTCCCTGGGAGCTCTGGAAGTGTACTGTCTCGTGGGGCTGCACGGCCCGTGTTAAATAAACCATTGCAAAATGCAGTTTCCCCACATACATCAAGTAGTCACTTGAGACCCATTTATCTAATGAATTAGGTAGCAAAGAAAAAACACATTTTCCAACATCATAGACAGTTCTGTTTGTGCTATTCTGTATTATTACTAATTAACATTTTACATAAGTGAGGCCATTGCTTAAAATACTAGGATTATTGTTTGGTTTGGGGGTCTGTTGTGAGCACAGTTATGAATGAGAGCGTAGTCTTTAAGGATCAACAGTTTAGTTCTAAATGCCGGATTTTTACTGTTACTATATATCGGCTTCCAGAGCTCAGGTAGATAGTCATGGTTTCTTCATCTGAGAATGAGAGTAATTTTACGCTCTACACTACAGGATTTATTTTTAAAATAAGAAATGTAAGGTATTAAAATAGAATTAGGATTTTTTAAAATTCTAGTTACTTAAATGACTAAAGAAAGTATCAGTATATTTTCAAAAATGATTACATGATGCCACTAATATCTTTTTCTTACTCTAAATTAAAAATATTAACATTATTGCTTAAGTAGAAATTATTTACATTTATTAAAATTATTTATTTACATTAAAGTTTTTATAATTAAAAGAAATATGTGTTATCTGTGCAAATACTCTTCAGAGTTCATTGAATTGAACATGGCCATACTGGATTTGAATTCTTGGCAGATATCCTGCCTCAGCCTCCCAAGTGTCATTGGGCACCATACCCAGCAACTATGTGCTTCAAAAGTCTTTGAGAAAGATAAATATCTTGAACATTCATTTTGAACACGGGAATCCTTTTGGGCCACCTAGTAATTTGGATGTAGGCATATAATATATACATTACACCAAAATTCAATGACGTGTATGAATTAATATTCTACTGTGTGAGTTTGATTTCAGTAAGAAAATGCCTAACTTGGCTCTGAAGAATCATAGTGAACCTCACAAAGCAGGAGCTGGGGCTCACCGGTATGCTAGATGCCAGCTTCCTGTCGTCTGTGGTCTGGTTGCATGCAGAGAAGGGTGGCTTGGTTTTATTCACCTGGCTGTTTCAAAGAATGCCAGGCCTCAGGTGTTTGCTGAACAAAATGAAGTGGTAACTTCATGACTTCAACGTGGACCAAGTACTCGAAGACTATCTAAAAGCACTCTTCTGGCATTATTTGCTGAATGTCCTCATTTCTTCCTGCTTTTCCTTGCTTCCCTCATAAAATAGGTTCCGAATGTACCTCAGGAAGCGCTGGAGAAATTGCTGTCAGTCACTCACAAACTCAGGGAGACCCAGGATCCCACAGTAAGTCTGGGCTCCCCCTGCTCCTCTTCTGTGGCTGACCTGCTCAGTCTTTAGCTGCTGCTCTTGCCCCATATGCTGTGCTTTGCCCTGTGCATTAGTGTAACCCTGATACCACTGCCCTGAGCATTGTAACCCTTCCTGACTGAGCCATGGAGAATGACAGAGCTTCAGAGGACTCAGTGAGGTCCTGTAGCTCGGCTCTAGCCCTCCATCCTGTTTGCTGCAGAGCACTTTCTATTTTTCAGCTGTTGCCTAGGCCTTCATCATCTTTAGCTTCTAATTTATCTTTGCTGACAGGCTGTTCATATTTCTATTTCAAGAAAAAGGCAATTATTCTCTATAAAAAATTAGTTAGTTGTATGTGTGTGTGCATATATGGATCAGAGGACAACTTATAGGAATCATTTCTCTCCTCCCACCATGTGGGTTCCAGGGATCACTCTCAGGGTTGTCAGGCTTTGTAGCAGGCACCTTTACCCACTGAGCTGTCTCACTCACCCAAGGGCAATAATTCTGTCTTTATTTTTATCTGTAAAATGGGACAATAACCTCAAAAGACAAGTATAATAATTAAACATAAATGCATATGTTTCAAAATTTTGCTTAGTAGTTGCTTAATAAATAATAGTTTCTATGTTGAACTGGATGCTTTAGGCTCATTATAAATTTAGCATATATAACTATCTCTTAAATAACTATCTTTAACTCTGTTCCTGTTCCTGATTTAATCTGCTGAATTGCCTAAATTCGAAACCTTGATATCTCTTGGTTGGTGCTTTTCTGATACGATCACTTATTCTGAAAGCAGGTCTCTCCAGTGACCATGAGGTTGACTCTGCTGTTATCTGCAGTCAGCAATTGTCCTTGTATCAGACTTCCACAGTTTGTCCTGGAGTATTACTTCCTCTTTATTGACCCTTCGCCAGTAACTCTCACTGCACAGCTTTCTGCTAGTTTCCTGGAAAAGCTTAACAAATTGCCATTACTACTTTAACAAATTATGTCATTTGATAAAGACATGTTTGGTCTGGACAAAAGATTTTGAAATCAGCCAAAATGGAAGTGTCAGCAAAGCTGCACACTGGGGAGGCTCCCAGGAGAATTCTTAGTTCCTTCTCCTTTGGGGAGACTGCCGCGGGCATTCCTCGATCTGTGGTCACATTGTGCAAGCCTTCCTCTGTATTCCCATCACCTCTGCTGTATCTGGATTGTGTTTTCTTCTGCCTCTTTACAGAGTTGCATGAGATTGCATTTAAGGGAGTCACCAAATTAATCCAAGATATTGTCGGTAATGTCCTTTTTAGTAAAATTTTAATCTCATCTTCAAAAACATCTTTGACATAAAAAGTAACATTCCTAAGCTCTGAGAGAGGGAGAGAGGGAAAGAGAGAGAGGGAGAGAGGGAAAGAGAGAAAGATATCCAGTTAGCACAGCTTTCCTGCTAATTACCTCTGGGACCTTACCTCATTTTTCCCCATTACTGTTTCCAGCTTTGTTATTTTTGTTGCTGTTACTAAGTTTTAAAATTTATTCTTAGGTTATTTCTTATCTGAGTACACTGTATTTAGACTATATCCACCCCACTGCCCTCTCCTACTCTCCCTGTACCCCAGTCCCCGTCCCAACTTCATGTCATTATCACTGTCATGTTTTTCTCCTCTCCCCGTCCCCGTTATAACCCACTGCATCCAGTTAATGGTGCCCATGTGCACATGGCTTTAGGGCGCCACCCACTGGGGCATGGGCAACCTACCATGGGCTCCACTATTGAAGAAAAGACTTAATTTCTCCCTCCTCAAGTGGCTGTCAGTTGCCAATAGCTCCTCAGCTGGGGTGGCTCTTCCTGAGTCCCTTCCCTCTTTATGCTGTAGTGTTGCCTGGCTTGATCTTGAGGAGGTTTGCTGACAGCCACAGCTGCTGTGACTTCCGGAATGCAGTGGCCCTTCATACCTAAAGGATGCTGTTTGCTGGCTGCAGCCTTCATCTGTTTCTGCCCCTTGGAATCCTACTGTCCTCTCTTCTACAGTATTCCCTGAGCGCCTTGGAGAGAGAGAGAGAGAGAGAGAGAGAGAGAGAGAGAGAGAGAGAGAGAGAGAGAGA